GCTTTTGTATAGAACGGTTAAAAAAATAATTAGGAAATATTTCAGTAAATGCATATATATATTTGTCTAAGAGCATCTATAGTTTAATTTTAGCGAAATGCATATTCATGGCAATATTTAGATTTCTCATAAAATGCTATTTTTTTTTTTGTAAAATGAATAACCACCGTAAGTCTGTAAATACTTGAAATTTTATCCAAATTTTTATATTATCATTATCTACACAGATTATGGATTTCTTGATGTCGGGAATCCAATTGATACTTTATAGTTTATACATAGACATTTTGGAAAGTTAGGACATTTTTAGTTATTGATTTTTGGCTGAACTTAAAAAAAACTGAACGATTAATAAGACATCAAAAGAAAATATAGTATAATCAACATTTTTTAAGCGATTGGGTTGTACGTTTGTAACGCTAATTACAAAATATTTACTCAACCTAGCCCCTGGAAACTTAACGTCCCAAATGATTTTTCCAAGATGGAGCTAATTCAACGATATGCCAGAGTTTGTGTCTCCAAAATTGTAGTAACAATTTGTTATCCATTTTCCCTTTACTTATTCGATTGACTTAAAAAAACCACTAAATATTTTCAATATCATAACAAACCAAGTTTCATAAATAACATATAACATTTTATACGTCATTAATATTTTGAATTAAATTCCTATTAATTATATTAGACAATTAAAAATAAAAATATATGATATTGACACAGTAACTATAACATTTTATGATTATATTTTCTATAAACTTATATATTCATTATTATACATTTTCAGAAACAAAACTCTTGCGAAATGCTGGGGGTAGAGGTAGACTCTAAATCAGTGGTCCTCAATAGGTTTTTAAAAAGGGCCGCATTCATTTTTAACGATAATAATGTAAAATAAAAAAATGTACAACTCTTTACTAAATTTAGTGGAGAATAATGAAAAGAGACACGATATTTTTTTAGTAAAGGGAATTTTGTAGGAAAAGCTTAGAGTAGGTTAGGATAGCTTTTACGTTTGACAAAGTGGTAGGATATTGATGTTCTTGAAGTGTAATCCAAAATTCCATTTTATTATTTTTACCATTTAAAATTTCTTTTAATGTTAAGTCCTGCTGTAAGTCAATTGATTCGCTTTTCAGTACACCAATATTACAATTCAAAATATTAATTTCAAATTTTTTGAATTGTAGTTATTTTTTACAGATTTTCAATAAATCAAAACGCATTTCTTAAGTTTTTAATATCATTGAAAGGACTGTTCATTTCATTATTTAAATTACGCAATACTTCGAGAAATTGTGGTTTCTGAGTGTCTATATCAGCATCATCAGAAAAATTTTGCTTATGTCATTAAATCAAATTTAAAAAAACTTGAAAAATCATCATCAGATACTTCTTCATTGTACATTTTGGGCATTTCTTCAAAAGCAAATATCTTACTGGCCATGTGAGGAACGTGGCCAAAATCATTTGGAAGAAAGCTATAATAAAGATGGTTTAGCGATGTATAAAATGTAATCGAATATTTTTTTTAGTCGAAAAACAAGTGGTCAAACAATTTACTAAAATAATCGAATTACTTAGTAGCCAAATTGGTTTTTTTTCGATCTACATTTAGATCATATATTGATATTTATACTTATGAAGATTTATTAGAGTATTACTAATCATTTTAATATTTTATAAAATTTTGTTTTTACTTTATATCCATCTAATTACATAATTATTTTAATTTAAAACTTAACAATTTTTACATTTTGTATGATGTTTTGAAATAATTAACTTTGAAAAAAATAACTTTAAGTATATGAAATTTGAGTAATTATTTTTATATTTGAATATTAACACGAAACTAATAAGGGAAATTTTATTCATTTTTCAATTTTTCAACTCACAAAGAAAAATAGTGCCTATGAAAATATATTATCCATCACCTGAGTAAATTATAGGTACGCCAACTGTACACGCTACAGAGGCTCAAAGGTTACATTCAAGTACTTAATCGATCGAAAACTTTTTATCACGCTCTATGAAAAAAACTTATTACAATCGAAAATTTTTATATCCGTAAAAATTGTCCAACTCGAGGCCTGAAAATATTAACTTATAAAATGTAATTGTGTTATAATCGAATATAATATTTTATTATATAGGTCTCCAAGTAAACTCTTAAAATACTTTTAAATTATAACAAAATAAACAAAGTCATAATGCTTGGTTATAATATGCAATTTCGTCCTAATTTGAACAGACTTTTATTGGTAATTGTATGCCATAACGAGAGCTCTTATTTTCGATTTTCAAATCTTAGCTATAATAATGAACATTTATAATTTCTTAGCTTAAAAAAAATTAGAAAATTCACAAGATTTTTATAAAATAGGTCTACATTTGAACTTAAGATACTTATACCAAGGATGCATATGAATATTGAATATTTTTCAACTAATTAGGGTCTAGGGATCATATATAATAATGTTGAGCTTTTTACACAACGAATATAATTGTATTGATATTTAGAGAGTAAAAAACTAAACAGAAATAAATCATATATAGAAAGTGATGAATAAAGATTTGATCAGAATATTAATTGCCCACATTTAACAGTTTCTGAATAACAACTAAATCGTTATTTTAGAACTAATTAGTGGAAAGGTGAACGTCCAACATAGTATTTTATTTTCAATTTTTTGAAACCGTGTAATTAAATGTATTTTAGACATCTATTTATGGCCGGTATAAAGTGTATCCTTAAATTGATTGCAACCACTAGTAACATTAATGAGTACTTATGCAATGGATGGCGTGCATTATTGGATTTAAAGTTCAATAATCGTTAAATAAACGTTAGTTACTCAGATGTTAAAAAATGTAATAAATATGGTGTTCACCGACAATTGGAGAACACTAATATTTGTTCGTGTAATAAATAAATAAAAAACTTATTTTTGACATATTTATGTACTACCGGTGAGTGGAGAGTGGTATAGATGGGTGCATATCTCTTATAAAAGACATCGAGAAATATTATTTTTTTTTATTCATTATTCAACGTTCAAATTATTTTTATTATTTCATTATACTCAATCAAAATGTTTTTGTTCAAAAATATTTTATTAAAAATTGCAATTCTAGTTATTGCAAGTTGGGTCATGCCAGCTACTGCCGTTTCTAAAGTCCAATTAGTAAGAGGTTAGTAGGTTTTTGTATTTTATTTTTTGAATGATTTGTATTAGCAGTTTGTACATTGCTTGAAAATGAATTGAAAAATGAAACCAATTATTACCTGTGTTATTATACAAGACTAAAGAAATGAAAATTACTATTGATTAGATTTTAATTGTATACATTATTATGCTGTCAGAAATAAGTAGTAAAAATTATTATTTTTAATGTCTATTATTATGTGAAAATTATTAATCCGTAGTTTATATTAAGTTGATGAGATGGGTTAATAAAACGTATTGTTTCAAATTTTATTTTTAGGTTATTGCAAAGGTAATTGTTTTAATTAATATTCAATAAATATAAACTTCACACATGATATGGCACACAATTAATAAAAAACGAGTTTGCTAGATCGTATATGTAAGAAGTTAAGCTGCTCTTAGAAAATCAGTGATATAGTATATAATAATATATATACATCTTAGTTTTTTTTTTTTTATTGATCGTTACAGCTTTGGCAGCATAGGCCATTAGCTTATGAGTTTTATCAATTATATACTTATTAATATATGCTTGGAATAGGAGAGACAAAAAAAAAGAACAGTTTATACAAAATTAGTGACTTATTCTATTTAATTATTGTATGCTTTTATCTAATTTTAATGCCTCGAAGAACGATATGAAGTTTTCTGGTAGGCAGTCGGGACCGACATCTTAGTTTATATTAAGTTGTTGACATTGTATTTATATTTTACAATTTATCTTAACTTTTTCTAAATAAAATGGTTGTTTGATTATTTTTATCTACATAAAAATTTAATTTATTTTTATCTATCTTTATGTTGATACAATATTTATTCTTTATATTTATCTTTATATAGAAGATAATTTTATTCTCTATTCCCAACTCTGATTACCATTGTAGAGACCGAGTAACCCACACCCTTAACACTTTTTGGTCACGACGGCTGAGCTCGTGAATTTGACTTAAGCTGCCTATACCACGTCTAAGGCTGCACCTACATTAGATCCGCATTTCTCCCGATCCGATCCGATCCGAAGTTATCCGTCCATCGGTATCCGATGACGTCAGACATGATTGCCTACACTGGTCCCGACGTAATCCGTTTAACTGTATACTGCCTACCGTTCTACTGCAGTTTGTATTAGAAGCTATTGCAGTAAACTCGCGATACCAAAATGAGTGATTCTGATGATGATTTTTTGTGCTGGTTTTTTCTGGAAAACAACGCCCTACTAAAGAAACGTAGTACAAAGACATGGGTCCATGAATTCAATTTAGATCGATCGAGAGGAGAATTTTTTACAACTTGCGTACCTATGCGGAATTACCCGGTTAAGTTCAGGGAATACCATCGTATGAGTATTGAAACATTTGACTACATTCTTGGAGGAATAAGAAACGATATAACTGGTCAATCAAACTTCAGGGTATGTGTCAGTCCAGAAGAAAAACTCACCATCACAATACGGTAAATAAACCTTTAATACCTTTTCATTATACATATAGATATAATATATTAAAAAAATTAGTAACGATTCGTGAGTATCTCTAGATATCACTAGTTTAAACGTATTACATTTTAAATAATGGTAAATATTGCCTTCGAATACAATGAATCTGTGCGAGCACAAGGTTACTTAATAAAATTAACCAATTAAATTTTTTCAAGAAGAAAATAGAAGGATTGGTTTGGTACTTAAAAAAATTAGAAATATTCTGAATGTTTTAAATAAAATAAAATAAAAAATAAAAGTTTATAAAATCTTTATTGTTTTCAAATAACAAAATAACATATACAAATGAAATCTCACAGATCCATTAGATTATAGATATCCTGTTGTGTAGGTTGTACTTCAGTCTGATATGCTTGATTCACTTGAAACGACATTGAAGATGATTGAGAATGCTCGGAACCTTCAGTACTGTATGGTGACGACAAAGGGGAATCAATGGGTGATGGTATGATTCTTGACGAATTTACTTCCTTCACGAACTGATGTGCTTCCAATGCATCTGTGACATCGTTCATGATTTTCATTCGGAGTCTCATTTTCTCAATCTGATTTAGTTGCTTAACAGAAGGCAGTAAGCTCATGAAGAATGCGTAGTCCTGATCATCTTGATGAGTATTTGTTGGTCGAGAAAAACGTTTTTCCATCAGGTTAATTTTCCTTCTTTCAATTTCAAGCACCTGGGAATCATAACTATTTTGTTTTTGTTTTTTTGAAAGAATTGTGTTGTTATCATTTTTATTATTTCTTTTTAAAGAACTTGATGGTTGTTGTTTGCTTTGAGGTTTGGCAAATGAAGTGAATTCTGATCCAGATGCCTCAGGTTCCCTGATAGAACAATAATTAATATCTGTCTCTGCATCATTTGTATTTTCCTCATCTACATCTTCTAGCGTGGCGTTGCTTAAATTACTTGGAGATAGTTCATTTTCATCATACGTGATAGGCAAATTTCCTGAGCTCTCCCTGGGCATCATCACGTCCTTTAAAAACATCATGGTATTAAAAAAAGGCCATTTCACAATTTCGGACCTTCCTTGACCACTTTTGGTTTCAGTATCCGTTTTTAGTTTCCTTCTAAACGTGTCTCTAAGATTTTCCCATGCTTTACGAGCCTGTTCACCTAAAATGCAAAACATTTGTAACAATATGTCCTTTTTTCTGATAATAATTTATTTGTAAATTTATAGTAGAAACAAGTTTATTTATTTCTCAGTTATTTTAAATGTTATAAAAGTTAAAATTGTTTTTTGGTTTATCGATTAGGTATTTAGCGACTGGATTATCATTTCGATCCCTGGGTTTAACGTTTCGAATTAATGATTACACTGTCGGTAAATGTGTTTCATTAGTTGTGGATGCGATATGGAATAATTTCTACCAGCAACACCTGCCTGTTCCCGACCATAGAATGTTAGTAGAAATAGCTACAGGATTTCAGGAGCGGTGGAATTTTCCTCATGCCGTTGGATGTCTTGATGGCAAGCACATTCGAATTATATGCCCGAAAAAAAGTGGAACTATGTTTTACAACTACAAAAACTTTTTTTCAATAGTGCTACAAGCTGTTGCGGATCACCGATGTCGATTTATTTTTGTGGATGTAGGAGGATATGGGAAACAAAGTGATGGAGGAACTTTTTCCGCTTCTTCTTTATCTACATTTTTGGAAAATTGTCATATTAATTTACCACCATCATCACATATCGAAGGAATTGTTACAGATATGCCATTCGTAATACTTGCAGACGATGCATACCCATTAAAGACCTATATAATGAAACCGTACTCAAGACGCAATCTATCACATGAAGATAAAATCTTTAACTACAGGCTATCGAGGGCTAGGAGATGTGTGGAATGTGCTTTTGGTATTATGACAGCCAAGTGGCGTTTGCTTGGAAAATGTATAGAAACTAATGTTGGCAAAGCAGAGAGAATTGTGAAATGTATCTGCTTACTTCACAATATAGTTATTGACCGTGAGGGCGGTGAATTCAGTTGCACGACGTTGCAACAATCTTTGATTGAAACACCCCTTCAAGGAAATAGGTCTTCAAGAATGTACAATAGAGCTTCACAAGAAGCTCAGACCATTAGAGATATCTTCAAGTCCTATTTCAATGGAGTCGGCGCTGTACCATGGCAAAACGGAAGCATCCAGTAAAAATAGATAATATTGTTATTTAATTTAAAAAATGTTGTGATTTTATTTTATAATAGTTCATAAATATTATGTTTATATTAGTGTAATAGTTAAATGCTTAATTAATATAAAAAGTTGATTAACTACAATTATTAATATTTGTCTAGGATGATTTGATATGTCCGTAGGTACTCGTTGTAATATTTAATCAATTCAAATAAGTAGTTTTTATTTTCTATTCTTAAATTTATTATCATTTAATAATTTACGTCACAGTCATTACTTTATCGTATTTTAACATGTTGAATAATATTGGTTTATATTATAATTTATTACCCTCACACCATTGATATTAAATTAGATAAAACTAAAATTAAACACATACTTTCTCACTACTATCTCTATGATTATCAAACACAAACAAATTATTTACAAGCGTATTTAAATAATATATGGGTTTTCCATACATCGTTCACTTACGGGGACGACATAAGATTCTATTTCCGTGCGTAGAGACACATGATATTTTGATGAATACGTTGCTTATAGTACCATTTAGTAACTTATTATTTAGTAGTTATTTATTAGTTGGTGTTATTTCGTTAAGTATATTATTACCTGAAATTTGTTGAAGTTGCGTTCCAATTGATTCCCACAACTCAAATTTTATGTCACGATTGTGGTAAGCTTTCACCCTCTGGTCCCATAGACGAGGTTCATCTCTCACAAGCTGTATTAACAACTCCTTATCAATTTTTCCCGTCATTTTTTAAAAATTTGATTAATATTTAACAGCAAGTTTTAACTTTTGTACTTTACTAACTACGGGTCGGATTAGAAACGTCGGACTGGAACCAAACATGATTGATCGGCCATCAAATCGGATAGTGTCGTGAGTCGTCGGGAATCGAGAATTCGGAAGCTTCGTTTCAATTGTAGGCACTAACATTAAGATAAAGGTGTTTGTTTTTCTTCCGACGTCGTCCGACCATCGGACAACGTCGGATCGGATCGGATCGGGAGAAATGCGGATCTAATGTAGGTGCAGCCTTATGAATGCTAATTATTAATCTGGTTCTTGCATCTGA